AATTAAAAAAATTTTTTTAATGTTTATTTATTTTTGAGACAGAGAGAGAGCATGAATGGGGGAGGGTCAGAGAGAAAGGGAGACACAGAATCTGAAGCAGGCTCCAGGCTCTGAGCTGTCAGCACAGAGTCCAACGTGGGGCTCGAACTCACGGACCGTGAGATCATGACCTGAGCTGAAGTCAGATGCTTAACCGACTGAGCCACCCAGGTGCCCCTCAAGGATGAAATTTAGACTGAAGTGTGATTCTCAAATTTTCCACTGAGGTACCACCAACGACAGACAGCACCCCCCTAAAATACATAGGGGTGCAATCCAAGGCAGTCTACCACATAGATGGAATTTCTTTGACAGCTCATTATTTATCTCAAAACTTCTATTTACTTCATGTAAAATAATGTTTCAGACCACTTACTTTTGGAAGTGTCAGGATGCAGGGAGAGTTTCTTGACTCCTTTAATAATTAAGTGTGTTTCTTTTTGGAATATTAGCTGAATTGAAAAAAGCTGACATTGAGTTCAACCCCCAGTTTCTTTCTCCTTGTTAGTGTGATAATGTTTCCAGAACCAAAACTCTCATAAATAGGTAAGTACAAGTGCCAACCCCTGATTCCTTGCTTTATGAGCTCTGTTAGCAGAAATTTAGGACAGCATCCAGGATGGCCCCACCAGAACGTGTGGCCCTGCCCAGGTGATTCTGGGGCGGGGGAGGGGAGGGGCAGCGTGGCAGGGTTCTGTGCTCTTCCTGAGAGTTCAAGCCCCCCACAAGCATGCCTGTTTTCTAGAACACTAGTTCAGAGCTTTCATACTCAAGAGAGCTTACTGGCTGTCTTCTTCACTTCCTTGCCACTGATGCAGTAATTTTCATTCCATATAAATAAAGTAAGAGATTTCTAGAAAAGCTGGTAATAGGCATACATGGTTTTTTTAAAAATGTCTCCCCAATAAACACTGCAATGAGCAGAAGGAAGCAAAATTAGTGAAGAAAACTGTCTACTTGGAAATTGTAAAAGGCCCCAGCCTGCATTAAGTTGCAGAAGGATACCAGAAGCCTTCACCCAGCTAAAACAAAGCAAAACAAAAAAACAGTAAGCCAGATGTGGCAACGGTAAAAGACACATTCCAAGACAATGGTAGTAAGATGGAGAAGGCCGTTTCATCTCAATAGGAGTAACAAGCAAGAAGATGGAACATTGTACTGGACGCCTGTCATGTTTTAGGGGCTGACGGCATTTCCAGCAGCAGTGCCCACAGCCACAGCAGCCAGCCGTGTGAAGGAGCAGTGGTAGTGCTCTCCCCTGACAGGGCCTCCCGCCAAGCCTCCAGGTCTCCTCAATCTGTTGACCTACCTTCCTTGCAATAAATCCCCATTTTTGGAAAGCCAGCCCAATTTGGTTTCTGCTGTGGCTACCAAGAACCTGAACTGACACGAAGGGCATAACCCTTTTGTGTTTAACAACTTTGAAATATACATACCAGAAATGTATACAAATCACAAGACAAATGGATAAATCCACAAAATCTGCATGGACTTTAAGATACCTTTCTCATAAATGGACAGATCAAATAGGTATTGAAAAAAAGAAATCAAAGCAAAAAGAGATTTAGAGCTTTGTGTTAATTTAAGCTAAGTACAATTAAATAAGAATTCAAAATCAGTTCCTCAGTCCCAGTAGTAATATTTCAAATTATTCAATACCACATGTGTCTAAAGGTTGCTGTGTTGGACAGCATGGATTATAAAACATTTCCTTCATCACAGTAAGTTCTACTGGACAGAATTAGTATAAAGAAAATGTGATACACACACACACACACACACACACACACACACACACAGGAATATTATTCGACCATGAAAAAGAAGGAAATCCTGCCATTTGCCACAACAAGGATAAACTGGGAAGACAACGTGCTAAATGGAATAATCTGGACACACACAAAAAACCAAATACTATACCATCTCACTTATATGTGGAATCTAAAATAGTGATGTTCACAGATGTGGAGTGTGGAATGGTGGTTGCCAGGGACTTGGGGTGGGGAGACTGATGATGTTGGTCAAAGGCTTTCAGTTATAAGATGAGTAAGTTCTGAGAATCTAACGTACAGCATGGTGACTACAATTAGCAATACTGTATTGTATACTTGAAATGTGCTTTAGTGTTCTCACTACACACATGCACACACACACAAAGGTAACTGTGTGGTGACGGATGTGTTAATTCACTTGATTATGGTATTCATCTCACAATGTATACCTTAAACATATATAATTTTTGTCAATTAGCCTCAGTAAAGCTGGAAAAAAATATTCACCTTTATACCTAATTTTGTATTTGTAATTTTGTGATATTTTCCTTAAAGAGGACCACCAAATTTATATAAGCCTTAGGTCCCACTCATTGTCCTCATCAATATACTGTGGAAAATACAGTGATACCACGATGTCCCCCTTCATTCAATAGAGCTTAGTAGTTACGGGCACAGGTTTTGAGAACTGCGTATCTGGGTGCATATTCCGGGTCTGCCACTTCTAACTGTATGCCTGTAGCCACAGTATTTAATTGCTGTAAGTTTTTCCAAATCTGTAAAACTGGAATAACAAGAGTACTGGCTCACAGGCTTATTATGAGGATGATATAACACAGTGTCTCAAATGCAGCCAGCACATAGTGAGCACAGTAGACAGTACACATACAATAAATATCAGTTTTTACTATTTTCTGGTGTTTGGGGAGTGAAGAGTCTTTCAGGAAATGCAGGTGGAAAAAAGACATTTTCAGGGAAATGAAAGCTGAAGAGTTTGCAGTAGACCTCCTCTAAAGTATATACTTTATCACAGTATATATACTTTATCATACATTATCATAGATGAAGTCTAAGATGCAAAAAATAATGAAGAGCAATGAAAGTGTAAATATGTGGGTTAATTCTAAATGAGCATTTACCGTATAAAACAATAATGATAATGTCTTGCACAGTTAAAAGATAGGTAGAATTTAAATGCACACCAACAGTTGCTAATAAATTGGGAGGGCAGTAAATATAATTAAACTATTCTTTTTTTTTTTTTTAATTTTTTTTTCAACGTTTCTTATTTATTTTGGGGACAGAGAGAGACAGAGCATGAACGGGGGAGGGGCAGAGAGAGAGGGAGACACAGAATCGGAAACAGGCTCCAGGCTCTGAGCCATCAGCCCAGAGCCTGACGCGGGGCTCGAACTCACGGACCGCAAGATCATGACCTGGCTGAAGTCGGACACTTAACCGACTGCGCCACCCAGGTGCCCCTAATTAAACTATTCTAAAGCCCTCCAAGAAGAGGGTCAAGCATTGATTATCTTTAGGTCTTCATAAGTTGAGTATGCATGTTTTTACTTTCTAGGATAAACACCAAAAAAAAAAAAAAAAAAGAAGAAGAAGAAGAAGAAGAAGAAGAAGAAGAAGAAGAAGAAGAAGAAAGAAAGAAACAGGGTTTATAACTTCTGAATCAGTAGAGGGAAGGAAATGGAATAATAAAAAATACTCAGCCAATCTAAAAGATGGCATTAAAAGAGAAAAGAAAGAATAAGTGAGACAAGGACAATCCACAAATGAGGTGGTAGATTTAAACCAAAATAGATCAGTAATTACATTAAATATAAATGAATTAAATGCTCCAGTTAAAAGACAAAGATCATTAGAATGGTTCTTGAAATCTCACTTTTTAGTATTTATCATATCAGTCAAAAGACTGCTGATGGAACTTATTCTAGAGTAAGAAGATCACTCATAACAATAAATTTATAAATGGTAAAATTTATATGTACTTAATAACAGACTCAAAATGTGTATGCTAAAAATTGACAGAACTAAAAGGAGAAACAGACAAATCCATAATCTTAGCGGAATATTTTAACAAAACTCTCTCAGTACCTGGAAGAACAAGCTCACAAAAACCAGAAAATACATGGAAGTGTTAGCTAACATGACCCAATGAGTGTATATGGGGCATTGCACCAACAACTACAAAATACACATCCTTTACAGGCACATATGGACCATTTTCAAAAATTGATAATATGCCAGGATTGGGCACTTTTGTATATATTATCTCCTCTGATCATCATAAAATTATGAAATAGTCATCCAGACCAGGAATCTTCCATCTGCCCCTCCAGACTCACCCTGCCCCATTCTCTGTCATGCTCTATGTCCTGTGAAGCCGATGTATACTGGGTGCATTCACAGACACCTTTCTCCTCTGGCTTCTGGTTGGGTTCAGCCAATGGGAGGCAAGAGCAGAGATTGTTGGGTGAAAGGAGGGTAGAGTCAGGGCATTTCCTGTCCCTGCCTCCTCCCTGTGGGGTTGCTGAGGATGACTGCTCCATCTTCCCCACCTAGGCACCCCTCCAGACAGCTGCCCTCCCCAAGGCCAGTCCCTATTTCTCCCCTTGCTGCCTCTCAGGTCTAGGGGTGGTAATAGCCCTTGATGTTCTTAGCCCTGGAGGATTGTGCCATCCCTTGTGGGTCTTCTTGAACCCTGCCCACACCTTTCCAACAGTCCCTTCACTAAATTCTCTTCAAATCACCCAGATAGGGTGACCATCTGTTTCCTGCAAGGACCCTGGCTTAGTATTAGCATCCCTGTCTGGCTTTGTGGAAACATAAACTCAGGGAGGTCAGCAAGTCATACAAGGTCACAAGCTGTATCTCCCCTACAGGTGTAGAAATAGGACAATTTCATCTGTAGCTCCCAACATTAATAAATTAGCAAATGTAGACAGTAGTATACCCTGTTAGCATGTCAAATAATTTCTGAATGTGAGTTGTAACATGGCCTTTGTTAGTTTCTTATATGTCAGGGGCATTGTGCCTTCCATTTAAAGTATGTTTATTCAGTTGTTTTTTCATTTTGGTACTTGATGCCTTTTAGAGGAAGTTGTTAAATAGAGTGAAATGGCCTCTGAATTTAATACCCCCATGATATTTTTGTCTTCCTACCTTGCTATTTTTCAGATCGACATGAAGTTATCTCCAAAGAAATACTGGAGCTAGACCCATGGGAAAACCAGTGGAATGTTGTAGCCATTGATGTCCTCATGCATGACCGTTACGATGTCTGCCTGGTGGCCAGGATGAACCCCCGAGACCTCATCCCCCCACCTTCAGATTTGGTGGAAGAAGGCAATGAGCACTGAAGTCAGTGTTTGCTGTAGGACCTCCTGCTACGTCTGCACAGGAGGCATTAGGAATGGAGAGAGCCACAGGCCCCAGCCAGTCACCCTGGACATGTGTGTTGCAGGCATAGCGGTCCATGTGCATAGCAGCGTGTGCTTGGTGCTGTGATAGGGAGTGAGCAGGGTCTGTGCTCAGGGACCTCCAGTCGGCTAGGATGGACAAGACATTACAAGGCCAAGTGTGGCGACAGCACAGGAAGAACACAGGGTGAGTGCCATAGGAATCGGGTGATGGAGTGACCTCATGCTGCTGGGACTCAAGGACTGCACTGTCAAGGAGCAGGCCTTTCGCCAGGGCCTTGGAGGATGAGGAAGAAGCAGTCCCATGGGTGCAGCTGATGGGGACATCACAGAAACAGCTGAGCAAAGGCCCAGAGCTGGGTCAGGTTGCCGGGGCCATAGGCTCTGCTACTAAGGTTGGAAAAGAAGGTTGCAGATAAGTGACCAACACCTGGAAAAGCAAGGACTGTGGACCTGGTCTCTGAGCAGAGGAGTTATCTCAACATCCTGTGATGTTAAAGGAAGACTTCTCTCTCTGCTCTGTTCTGGTTTCAGTCTTACAAAGGCTTTCTATTCTCGTGTATGATACTCTTCTACTGCGACAACATTGCCCAAAACGGGGCTAGCCGTGGACCACAAGTTGCCAACAGCTCAGGCACTCAAGCCCAACCACAGTGAGCAGAGAGGAACTCCACCCTGGGCCAGGGCAGTGCCAGGGACAGAGATGGGGAGCCCTGCTACCCTGGCCCACTCAGGTTGGCACACAGTACCCTGGACAACACTTATCCAAGCTGCCCTTGGCCGGCTCTCAAGTGCATATGACCTTCTGGACACTGGCCCTGGCTGCATGCAACTGGCCTAGGCCACCCATAGTCCAGGCCCTGGAGTGAAGGAGAGAGGAAGCATATCCTTTTGGCTACCTGCCGCCTGCCCTCTTACCCAGCCTTTGCAATATCTTCCCCAAGACTGGAAGGTAGGGATGGAGCTGCCTGCTTCAGCCCCCGGTTGAGCATCATCAGAAAACAGGCACTCCCAAAATATGCTTTAGGGCTGACATGTAAATGACACGTGGGAAATCCATCTATTTTCCTGGCCATCCATACTCTTGGAAGCACAATGGATTCAAAGAATGCATTTTGGTAGCTTCTCCAGAGTTTCCCAGTGCACGGGACTCTTGCTTACACAGGAGTGGTCAGCAAATTCCCTAGAATTTTCCCAGAAGGAGACAATGCTAGATCGAGATGGCTCTTCGCTGGTGCAGAGCTGTGTGGCCGTGATGCCCATCAGCCCATGTCGCCAGATTCTAGCGAGAGGCTACACCAGGCAGAAAAGCCAGGTCCATGGAAACTGGAGCCAGTTGGAAACCTGCTTCTGCCACCACCCAGGGGGTCCACTTAGACCAGCGCAGGTTGTCCCCAAGTAGGCCAGGCTCTAGGAGGGCAGGGGCCGTGTCTGTCACTTTGCAGTTTGCAACTGTGCTACTCGAAGCCCATGGTGAGCAAAGTGTGCTTGTAGGCAGTGAGGCGCAAACACATTCTCTGTGTTTATACAGAGGGTTCTAAGAACACTACTCATGTGAGTTCAAATGAGCTGATCCTTCTCCACAATCTGTGGATTATTTTTCTTGCTGCAAAGGCAGAGCAGTTCTGGGAGTGGGCTGTGCTGGCCATGGAAGCCATGGTTGCAGAGAGCCCCCCACAGGTCTGTTTCCCCAACTTCCTCTTAGCAGAACCACGGTGCCTGCTGCACACACACACTAGAAGCTGCCACATTTCCGTGTGTCAAGGAGGCCTGGTCAGCGCGTCGTGATCCATCTTCTAGAGGCACTGGGTTCAAGATCTCGGCCCTGGTGCCAGCGTTGCTACTTAGCCAGCCGTGTGATCTTGGCCAAAAATAACCTTTTCTAAAGCCTCATTTTCCCCAAATGAAGAAAAATCATTTCTAGGGTTGGTGTGAGGACCGAGTGAGAAAGTGCTGAGCACAGTCCCTGTTCGATACTAAGACAATAAACATCCTTCACCTGCCATTATTTCTACTAGCATCGTCATTGTAGTCTGCATTTCCCAAAGCATGGTGCCCACAACAACCAGTACTTGTGATTATAGGGGAGCCGTGCATGTGGTGTGAGGGGGTTCTTAGCTCCCCAGACCCAGCCACTCAGGCCCTCCAGGTGGTGTGCAGGTAAACAAGCAAGCCTTCACTTTAGTGTCTATTTTAAGCCCGAGGTGCTTTTTGTCTGACTTTCGTATTTGTAATTAAAAACAAGATGTCTCTGCCCTCCTGCTGGCAGATATTGTCAGAGATTCGGCTTTGAATTCCTACCGCTCCTTTCCTCATCTCAGCTGACGGCTGTCCCAGTATCTCAGTGGAGGACTCTCAGAAAACATGGACTCTTCGTGAGGCAGGACTTCCGGACGCTGAGCAGCACACCATAGTAGGGAAATGATCTGGAGGCTGAGGCTGGCAAGAGATGGCAGCCATCAGCCCAGCCCCGTCTGGTCTGCATCCGCCAAGAAAGCGCCACTGTTCTCACTGATCGACTTTACGATGAGCAAATGCTTTCAGTTTGAACTTACAAAATATAAATGTACGATAATGAGCAATCACTTTTACTGTTTTTCATATTGCAATTCCATGTAGATTTCTCTTGAAGAAGGGACTTCTGTGCCCAGCAAGTACTGAGCATCCCGGGGAGGGCAGGGAGGGATGTCCTGCCAGAAGATCACAGGGAGCAAGCAAGGCCCAGAGGCCAGGACGTGTGAGGTGGGAAGGGGGGCAGGAGGTGACCCTGCTTCCAGGACGGTTGAAACACAGGAGGATGTCAGGAAAAAGAGATGAGGCCAATCACGAAAGGCCTTGAATGCCACACCAGAGAGTCGGTCGCTGCCTTGGCACCTCGGTTTCAGGCAAGGAAGTCCTTCAGGAACAACCCTCCAGGGTGCAGTGTGGATGGGCAGGGTGAGAGCAGACACGGGCAGGAGTCCCTGTCACCGAAGCTGAACTAACCTGGTAACCGCGAGGTTAGGACAGCAAGTCCATTGCACAGAAACAGAGGGTGTGTGTGGTTTGCTAGCAGAGTCAGAGAGCAGGGAGATGCTGGGAGCTTTACCACAGGAGAATGGCCAGTCACCCAAAACCAAAACCCAGAAAGCGTTTTCAGGGGTCCTGCCCCCTCCACCAGTGACCCTTAAAGACAGCCACCAACCAGATGGCTTCAGCCGTTCACACCGGGCCCAGCTGGGAGTCATCAAGAGAGAAAAGAGGGTTTGGGGTGTAGTTGACTCACCCCACTTCTTTGCCAGCCCTAGCGGCCCCAGCTGGCCCCATCCTTGTTTGCAACAACAAGGAGGCTGTCCCAGCTCATCAGGAAGTCCTGCAAGAAGCGGTCACAGAAGCCACTGCTTGTACCATAGCTAGCTTAACAGGCCATGTGGAATAGTCTCGGCCAAAGGGATCTAGAGGGACATCTCTGGAGGGACTTTTGGAAGGGTTTTCTCTGCCAAGTCTTTTCAAGTCTGTGTGCCACTGGGGCTGCAGCCACTGCCCTGCGGTGACAAGGAGACAAACAGAGACAGCTGCAGTTGACCCATAGATGGGGACCAGCTGGGGGCATGGAGAGACCCAAGTCCTGGATAACACGCTGAAGCCACGGAATGAACCAGCCATGGGACTTTTTGCCACATGCCACTTGTTTCAATAAACGTTCCCTAAGTTCAGACTTCCCTGAGTTACTTGCAGCCCAAGATTTCCCAACACTCCAACCCTCCCCCACCAAAGCCACTTGCTCTTGGGGTGACATTTGCTAGCCCCGCCCAAGGGGAGGACTCAAACAGTCCAGTTCCTGGGATATCTGAGAGTGTCTTCATTCCCTCTGTGAGGGGAGTTCTGCATGCCTGGCCGATGGTTTCCGAGCTATCTCTCCAGTATTTTCCTCTCAAAACTCCAGTGTTTTTGTTTCCTACTAATCCCACCCGCCACCTGTTTTTGTGAATAAAATGTTCTGGGGGCACAGCCGCGCTCACCATGTACGTTTTGTCTATGGCTTTCCGGCTGCAGCAGCAGACCCAAGGAGCTGCGATGGAGACCTCCAGCCCGTGAAGCCCAGAATATTTACCATCTGGTCCTTCACAGAAAAGGTTTGCCAACTTCCAGTGCCTTCCATCAGATTCCCTTGACGAGAAATACTGAGCTAAGGAAATACATCCATTATAAAGGAAAATAGATGCCTAGTCTTTTGTTTTCACATATATACCATGGTTCTCTTCCATTCTGCTTTTACTCAGCAATATGGCTAAAAGAGAGGGTTTCACTTTCTTTTTTATGGGCCATATCGCACCTTATCACAGGTGTGACCTAATTTCTCTAACAGATCACCCAGGGATGGGGATTTCACAGTTGTTCCCTCCAGCTGTTACTTGAAGGGGTAGGGATCTGACCTGCTCTATTGCTGTGAGCTGTGGCACCCAATTCCAGACTGGCGGTTGTTTGGAAAGTGGGCTTTGCACGGCACTTAGGTTCTCTGTGGAGGCCGGGAGCCTGGGAGACAGATGCAGGGGCGTGCCCGGCTGTGCTGCATGTGGTCTCAAGCCACTCAGTGGCATCTGGGCTTATGGAGAGACATGGCAGGTAGCAGCCAAGTTAGGAAGCAGAGTGGATTCATGCAAAGGCTGGTCTGAGCCGCACTGAAGGGCTCACGAGGAGGGCACCCAGTCAGCACCGAGAGGGGCACCTGATGTGTGAGCGTGGTCGCAGCCCACGTGGGAGGCCAGGCACCTCCCTCAGCATTGAAAGACCCAGCAGTGGGTCATCTCCAAGGGCCAGTGCAGCACAGGAAAAATGAGGTCAGAAAGAGCAACCGAAGCTTCTGGTGCCACACCAAACCTGAGGCTCTTCACCCCCAAGGGCACTTCGAGTCAGAGGCATGGTCTAAGGCCCAGCAGTGGCAATGATCGCCGGTTTCTCTGCCTTTGCAATGCTGTGGGCCTCCAGAACCATATTCTAAGGGGAGCAAGCCGACTCTGTGTCTGTAGCATCTGAGGGGCGGGACCTGAGAGGACGGACGAGGGAGAGGGCAGGATCAGGACATCCCATGGCACAGATCTGACAGCTCCAGCCCAGATGGAGCCACTCTCCCCCTTTCTCCACTTGGCACATTGGAGGGCTCAGCCCTGAGCTAGCGGGAGGCCCCTTGCCACCAAGGAGCTACTCAGAGGGGAGCCGCGCGAGGAGGATCAGAACTCACCCGCAGTGGGGAACCTGGTCTTTCTCACTTTTCTTGAGCCAGGGCTGAGCTGGGCAGAGATCCGTGATGCAGGGCCCTGCCCCCCACAAGTTCACGTTCTAGAGGAGAGACGAATGCATATACAGCAAAGGACATCTTATGAGGGGTTGGAGTCTACACATTTTGCACTCACTCTGCCCAAGTGGTTTCCAATCATTATGTGCACAACTTTCAGCCGGAAAAAAAGTCACTGGCTGGCTCAGTGGGTAGAGCACGTGACTCTTGATCTCAGGGTTGTGAGTTCTAGCCCCACATTGGGCATAGAGATTAGTTAAAATACCAGCACACATACTCTCTAATCGCCACCAAGCCCTACCAAAAAAAGTTTTCTGTCTCAAAAGCAGACCCATGCAAGCACCACCTTGCTGGCCTCTCTCATGGCCCAGAACCCCAGGTGCAGGTAGCTGGGTGCAGAGAAAGCGGGGCCAACCAGTTCCCATCCCAGCCCCCACACCCTGCTGTGTGGCCTTGGGCACCCCTCATCCCCTCTCCTACCTTTCTGGTCCCTACCTAGACAGTGGGACTAATCATTTCTACTCCACTTGCAGGGTGTTGGAGAATCGAATGAAATGAAGTGCATATCCCCCCTTGGAGGAGAAAATTTCGTAACCTGGGGGAGTGACCCTGGGGCCTCTCTCTACCCACAGCTCTCCAGGGCCACATCCCACACCACCCACCTTATGTGACCTGAAACCTCTCTGCCTCAGTTTCTCAGTCTGCGAAAAGAAGGGTGAGAAAGAACAGCATCGGTCTCAGGATAGCTGTGAAGACCAGACGTTTGGACCAGACCGTTGTTCAGAGCTATGAAGAGAGTAGAACAGTCTTCCGTTGCTCTGATTTCTCCAGCTCCCCCCACAGCACCAAGAGCTCTTCACTCTTGCGACACACTCTTGCTGAGTATCTGCCATGGTCCATGCACTGCTCTGGGAACTCCCCTCTTCAGTCTCTCCAGAACATAGAAAGCTAAGCCAAAGGAAAAAAATAAATAAAAATCAGAGCATCATTAACCCCGGAGAGGAAAGCTAGCCACACCTTACCAAGGCTCAGCTATGACTGGTGTTTACATCAGTTTACAAGAACGCAAAGCCTGAGCTGGAATTAATGACTAGGAAGGGAATAGGGGCAGGGACATGGGTGAGGACAGGGACGAAAGATCCTCAACAAGCAGGCACCCTCCACTCCTGTGCCGGGTGTTCTCCATTATTGCAGGAAAGGGCCTTCCATGCCCGAGTCACTGAAGAGCCTTGGCAGGGCAGCGCCTGGTTCTCAGGAGCTAATGGACCCACAGTTTGGAGGCCCTTGAACAGCAAAACTCAGAGCTGGCCTGGACGCACCACAGGCCCAACCTCTCACCCGCCAGAAGGGGGACCCCAGGCCCAAGCTGGGAAGGACTCTTGCAAGGCTACACCAGGAGCTCGTGGCAGAACCAAACACGACCCACTCAGCTGACCCCGGTCCCCTCCCCACTCGCTCTTGTGCATGCACTTGGTGGAGAACGTCACTGCTTAAAGACCACGAAACAGCACTAGGTGTGGCCCTCGGGGCCTCTCTGAGCCTCTGTTGCCCCATCTGTAAAATGGGGGTATAGTAGTAAGCAACCCTTAGGGTATGGGGGTTAAAAGCACGCATGTAGATGAAGCGCCTAGGGGAATATTGGCTCACCTAAAAGTTAGGGGTCTGCATTACCATTAATTATCGTTAATTCCTCTACCAGGAAGAGACAATCTCTGTGGTGCAATGTCAAGTGAAAAAGGCAAGATGGAGAACTAAGTATATAACCCGGTTCCATTGGCGGGATGTGGACAAGGCCATGAGCACCACCACACGTCTGTGTACATGTATGCATGTGTGTGAGTGTTTATGAAAATGTTATGTGTGTATGCAGACGCATGTGTATATGTGTATAAGAGCGTGTGTGCCTATAATGTGTGTATGGCGGTGTGTGTGTGTATATATGTATGAGTGTGTCCTGTAAGGGTAAATACAAACCTAAAACTAAAGAAATTGAGTCTTATCTGGTGCATGACAGGAAAACCAGACCCTCTCCCACACTTAAGCATTTCCTTTAGAAAAGTTGACATTGTAAATGCTATATCTCTGTCTCCTTGAGATGTATGTAAATCTCTCTCTTTTTTTTTTAAGTTTATTTATTCAGAGAGAGAGAGCAAGAAAGCAGGGGACAGAGAGAGAGAGAGAGAGAGGGAGAGAGAGAATCCTAAGCAGGCTCCACACTGCCAGCACGGAGCCCCATGTGGGGCTCGAACTCACAAACTGTGAGTTCATGACCTGAACCCAAATCAAGAGTTGGACACCCAACCAACTGAGCCACCCAGGTGCCTGGTATGTCACTCTCTTTTAAAGTTTAATAAGGGGGTGCCTGGATGGCTCAGTTGGTTGAGCATAAGACTCCTGACTTCTGCTCAGGTCATGATCTCAGAGATCATGAGATTGAGTCCTGCATCAGGCTCTGCACTGACAGCATGGAGCCTGCTTGGGATTCTCTCTCTCTCTCTCTCTCTCTCTCTCTCTCTCAAAAATTAAAAAAAAAAAAAAGCTAAATAAGGAGGCACCTACCTGGCTCAGTCAGAAGAGCATGTGACTCTTAATCACAGGGTTGTGAGTTCGAGCCCCACATTGGGTGTAGAGATGACAAAAAAAATGAATAAATAAAATAAACTTTTTAAAAATAAAAGCTAAATAAGCTTCTTGATGGTTTTGCATCCTGGGACTGGCTTTCTCAGAGTCAAGCCTCCCTCTCTAAAATGTAAACATTCCGGGGCGCCTGGGTGGCGCAGTCGGTTAAGCGTCCGACTTCAGCCAGGTCACGATCTCGCGGTCCGTGAGTTCGAGCCCCGCGTCAGGCTCTGGGCTGATGGCTCAGAGCCTGGAGCTTGTTTCCGATTCTGTGTCTCCCTCTCTCTCTGCCCTTCCCCCGTTCATGCTCTGTCTCTCTCTGTCCCAAAAATAAATAAACGTTGAAAAAAAAATAAAAAAAAAATTTTTAAATGTAAACATTCAGAAGGTTGGTGCCTGTCCCCCCTCTTGCCAGGTCCCAGGACGCAACTGCCTGCTTGTCAAAGGGTGGGAGGAATTTCACTTTTCCTCTGGGCAGAGACAACTAGCACGTGGGCAATGGCGTGTGTCTGCCAGGCTGTATAAAAAGGTGAGCTGTCGTTTTCTTCTTTGCAACCTCTTGAGCGGATTACCCATGATGCACGCAGTCTGGTTCAATGCTTATTCAATAACAAACCCGTTTCCTTTCTCTTCTATCTTCATGGAGAGGTTTTCTGGGTTGGCAAGAGATTTTAATTATTTTCCCAGCGGTATGTGCATGTGTATACGACGGAGTGTGTGTGTATACACGTGTGTGTGCCTGGGTGTATATGTAGGCATGGGGGGGGGGGGCGCGTGGGGGTATATAGCAAGATTCCTAAGAAGCTGGTACACTGCACCCCTCCAGGACTCTGGAACTGGGAGACTGTGGTCAGACAGGGAAGGGAGAAACCAAATCTTTTTTTAAATTTTGTTTTAACGTTTACTCATTTTTGAGAGACAGAGAGAACAGAGCGCGAGCTGGGGAGGAGCAGAGAGAGAGGGAGACATAGAATCCAAAGCAGGCTCCAGACTCTGAGCTGTCAGCACAGAGCCCGAGCCGGGGCTGGAACTCATGGACGACAGGATCACGACCTGAGCCGAAGTCAGATGCTTAACCAACCGAGTCACCCAGGTGCCCCTGAAACCAAATTTTTTCTATATACTCTGTGTGGCAATTGAACTAAGTACATGCATTGTCTTTCAGAAAAAGACATAATTTCCAGTCACTTTGCACTGTCTGCAGTAGGGTTTTCTCTATATGACTAATGACAGTTAACCCAACCACAGCTCCCTACAGGCCCTACATCCTTCAGTCATGTAACCTCCAAAGCACTTGGCAGACCTGCCAGCCAATCACTGCTGCTGTGATCACTCCCATTTTAGAGACAGGAAAGCTGATGCTTGTCCAAAGTCAGGGGGGTGGGGGCACACCGGGGTGTGGAGTCACACCCAGACCTGTCTCTGTGTGCCAACCACGTGCCCAGTGTCCCTCCAGCGCAGGGGTCCGAGTGGCGGCACCCACAGCTGGTCCCTGGGGCCTACAGCCCTCAGTCCTGCGTCCCTGGCTCTCTCCCCTGGGAGCCACCCAGCCAGACTCCACCCCCCCCCCTCAGGGCTTTCGTCTCACACGATTCCGCCGCCCCCCCGCCCAGCCCCAGTCTTGCCTGCAGCGGCTGCGGCTGCGGGTCAGACAGGACCCGGGTCAGACAGGCGGGGTGTGAAACTCAGGGCAGTCAGGACTCAAGGGCCAAGAACACTGATTACATCAGGCTCTCCCGAGGAGGGAGGTCGAGCTGCCAACCGGATTGCTCTTTGGTCCACTTAAACCCAGGAAGGATGAAGGATGGTAGCAAATGGAGCGGGAAAACAGGACCACCTGGAAAACGGCCTTGGACCTGGTGGCTCCAGCCGCAGCCTTCGGGTCACTGTCCCGTGGACAAGGGCTGCCCCGCCCAGGCGTCAGGTGCCAGCTAGCCAGGGCCGCCTCCTTCAGCGCCACCATCAGGGGGGCTCACCCTGCTTTTAGGGTCAAGGCCACGCCCCTCCTGGGGCGCCAGCCCCGACCCACCCTCCTTGCCCCTCTCCGGGAGGCCGCGTTTCCCAACGTTGCGGCCGCGAACCGGGCGAGGATGTCAGGGAAGCAGCTCCTCCCCCTGGTGGCCGGACCCGACAACTGCCTGCGTTGAGGCGGTGGGCCCCCCCACTGCCCCGGGACCAGGCTCGCTCCCCAGGCCCTGGCAGGGCCTGCTCCCGACACAACCCGGACAGCAGGGATCCGGAGAAGCAGGAACCGCATCGGCAAAGTCCCTTAGACCTGGTTTAGAAACAGGGTACCTAAAGAAGGTCTACAAAACGATAAGCAAAAAAAAAGCAGGGGGGTGGGCGGGGGGGATGAGCAGCCGAGAAGACACCACTCCTCACCCCTCCTTTGGCAGAAAGCAGACAAGAGCGCCGTCCTGGCCCGGCCTGGCCGGGACCCTCTGCCGCGTGGAGCACCTCAAGGCAGCCTCTTTGGAGAATGGCTTGGCATTACTTGGTAAAGCTGAAGGTGCAAACGCCCTGCCACCCTCGCAGATGCAGAGGGAAGAAACCCTTGCCCCCAGGCCAAGGGAAGTGTAAGCATGCGCGCCAGGCATTCACAGCAGCGTTTTCTGTAATAACTGGGAAGGTGTCAGAAAATGAACCCAGCGCCCCTCAACAGAAGAATGGATGGCTACTCTAGGTGCATTCGTGCAACGGAACCATCTGCAGAAATTAGAACAAACCAGAATACACACATCTGTGTGGATAAACCTCAGAAACATAACATTGAATGACAACAAGCATGTAGCCGGATTATAGATCCCGCATGAAACCACAGCGTAAAACATGCAAAATGATGCTGTGTATGAGTTAGAGATGTGTACGGATGTAATAAAGTAAATAACATGGATGACAAAGATTCACAATGACCTCAGACAGGTTTATGTGTAGGGAGAGAGAGAAACGCGATGTAGAAAGGCCCAAAGCTGACTTCGGTTTCATCAGAATGTCTCCAGGACCTCAAGGATTCCCAACCAAGTAGGAGGCAACATCAGGATTTGTTCTAGCCCTGTGATCTTCACACAGATATCTGTTACATTGTTCTCTATTCTTTCCTACATGTTTCCAATATATTTTATAAAGAGCCACACAGCACTCCATGGTTCTAACCCCAGCTCCCGCACCACTGGCTGTGTGGCCTTGGCCCAGTCACTTAACCTGTCTGAATCTGAGCTTCCTTATCTGTATCAGGAAAATAGTAAGAGCTACCCTGTCAGGAGAAATGAAGGAGTCGGGGCCTGGGTGGCTCAGTCAGTTAAGTGTCCAACTCTTGACTTTGGCTCAGGTCATGATCTCATGGTTCATGGGTATGAGCCCCGCATTGGGGTCTACACTGACAGTGCAGATATATATATATATATCATATATATCATATATATATATCACGATATATTTCCATTCTGCCATCAATCAACACATAGTTTCCAGTTTGGGAAACTGTTATGAAGGGTGCTATGAACACTTTGTCCATGTCCTTTGGTGAACATATGCAATCATTTCTCTTGAGTATCTTCCTGGGAGTGGAATCTCTGAGTCGTAGCATAGGTGTATGTGTAGCTTAAGGTAAACTGTTTTCCAAAACGGTCACACCAATTTCCACACCCATCAACAATGTACCAGAGGTCCTATGGCTCCATGAGCTCACTGTCCCTTGCTGTTATCAGACTTGTTCATTAGCTAGTCTGGCACATGAGTGGTGATAAGGCAGCTTTGAAAAACCTAGCTCCATGCCAAAACACACATAATCCAATTTAAAAAATGGGCAGAAGACATACATAGACATTTCTCCAAAGAAGACATACATGTGGCCAACAGACACATGAAAAGATGTTCATCATCACTCATTATCAGGGAAATATAAATCAAAACTACAATGAGAGACCACCTCACACCTGTCAGAATGGCTAAAACCAACAACACAAGAAAAAACAGGTGTTGGTGGGGATGTAGAGAAAAAGGAACTCTTGTGCACTGCGGGTGGGAGTGCAAACTGGCGTAGCCACTCTGGAAAACAGTATGGAGGTTCCTCAAAAAATTAAAAATAGAATTACTTTATGATCCAGTAACTGCAGTACTGGGTACTTACCCAAAGAAAACAAAAACACTAACTCAAAAAGATATATGTACTTTAAAAAATTTTTTTCCAATGTTTATTTTTGTGAGATAGAGAGACAGAGTGTGACCAGGGTAGGGGCAGAGAGAGAGACATACACAGAGGAAAAAAGTTCCAGGCTCTGAGCTGTCAGCACAGAGCCCGACGTGGGGCTCGAATTCACGAGCGGTGAGATCATGACCTGAGCCGAAGTCGGATGCTTAATTGACTGATCCACCTGGGCACCCCCAGACTCTTAATTGCAGAAAACAAACCGGCAGCTACCAGAGGGGAGGTGAATGGGGGGATGGGTTAAATGAGTGATGGAGATTCAGGAGTGCACTTGTCATGATGAGCCATCGGGTGATGTATGGAACTGTTAAATCAATGTATTGTACACCTGAAACTAATATGACACGATATGTTAACTATACTGGTATTTAAAATTAAATTTAATTAAATGTTTAAAAATAGCTCCATAACACGTCAAAGATCACAAGGAGCCCCCTAAAAAAAGGCCCCATTGTCCAAAGATGGGAATATTTGAGCATTAAAAAGAATTATTATAATTGATTAAAACCCATCAAATAAAAATTCACAAGTTTATAAGAATAATCAAAATAAGGGAAAGCAAAAATAAATCTAATTTGCCACTATTGAGTATCAACTCCTTATTTTCAAAATTATTACGGGGCATAATTAAGCGTGATTCCTGACTTACCGATACAAACTGGAATTCCGGGTTACCAAGGAACTCCAGCTGATGTGGGAAAGCTCTTCTTTGCAGAAGCATTCCATTTATAAATGTGGAAGTAGGGACAGCTTTAAAATCACAATTGAAATAACTGATCCAGGCTACAATCATCAATGAATGCCAAAGCCGTGGGGTGATAGCCACAGGCTGACAAAGTCTCATCCCCTAGGGAAAAATCCAGAGGAAAAATATACCTTATAAGGGAGAGCAAGCTGTCATTATCTGGACCCACTTATCAGTAAGAGCAAAACAAGCAGACATTCTGTGCCATCTGACATGATACGGAATGAAGTACCCAGCACCACCTGTGAAGGATTCTTGCCAAAAATGTTGTAACTACATCCAATACATCCTTCAATATAACTTTAAGTTGTTAGGAAACAAAAAATGGAGAAGCAGTTAATACAATACCTCAGGGGAGCAAGCAGATCAATCCAGAGAAAGGGACTTTCTACAGGAAAACTGGCCCCATCTCTTCCACGGGTCCGTGGCACAGGGAAAACTACAAGGAGGAGGGGCTTGAATTGCTTCACTGATTGTTCTCTCGTCCACAGCAGCTCTCTGGCATCCTTGGCCACCCAGGCTGAACTTCTCAGAGGTAAATACGAGTTGGCCCCGTGGATCTTCAAAAACAGTTTTGGAGGTATGAGTCATTGCTGGTGGAACACTTCATTTATCCCTAACATGAGAGAATAAAGATTTTCTAGTAAGCATAATTCCTAGGCCAACAGTATTCAACTGTCATGCTGGAAAATGCATTAAGTCACATATGTGACTTGATCAGAGTAAAGTGCACTGTGAGAGGTCTGTCAGTAATGATTTGCTTTATTTAAATCAGATCAAACTCATCATTTGCACTTTAAAAGTGGCTTCTTGGGAGGGAATGAAGGTGTTACAGGGAGTACCAGGAAGGTACAAACAAGACACTGCGTACAACCCAAGGGACTGCTTGCAATAGAACTACTACCGGTCAGAGACATCCCAGCAGAGAACAACATTGGGACTAGCTGTTCTGGGGGTTCAGGGTTTATCCTGTGATCAACACACTTTTGTATAACGGGACTTGAATATATGCAAAATACACCTTACAATCCCCTGTAAGAAGGACTAACTACTGTACCAAACTGAAAGCCCCCTTTTAGGTCTCGTGGTCATCACTGTGACTGTCATATGCTTCCTTATGCTTGCCTGGGGCTTAGCTCGCTCTCACTTTTCTGTCTTTCCCTCGGAACGGATCATCTCAATTGTTCTATCTTTATGTTTGTTGATTCTTCCTCCCACCTGTTGAAATCTGTTATTGAGCTCCTCTGATGGAGTTTTCATTTCTGTTACTGTATTTGTTTTTTTACTCTGTAATTTCTATGTTTGTAATTTGTAGCTCTTTATTGGTATTTTCTATTTGGTAAGACAGTGTTCGCATACTTTCCTTTAATTCTTCAGACATGCTTTAACTCTTTGTACATGTTTTGGAAAAGCACATTTAAAGTTTTTGTGTAAGGAGGCATTCAGATGGATAAAAAAAAAACACATGAAAAGATGCTCAACATCACTCATCATCAGGGAAATACAAATCAAAACCACAATGAGATACCACCTCATATCTGTCAGGATGACTAAAATTAACAACACAGGAAACAACAGGTGTTGGCGAGGATGCGGAGAAACGAGAACCCTCTTGCACTGTTGGTGGGAATGCAAACTGGTGCAGCCACTCTGGAAAACAGTATGGAGTTTCCTCAAAAAGTTAAAAATAGAATTACCCAATGATCCAGCAATTGCACTACTAGGTATTTACCCAAAGAATTCAAAAATAGAGATTTGAAGAGGCACATACACCCCAGTGTTTATAGCAGCATTATTAACAATAGCCAAACTATGGAAAGAGCCCAAGTGTCCATCAACTGATAAGTGGATAAAGAAGATGTGGTGTGTGTGTGTGTGTGTGTGTGTGTGTGTGTGTGTGTGTGTGATGGAATATTACTGAGCCATGAAAAAGAATGAAATCTTACCATTTGAAACAACATGGATGGAACTAGAGTATATTATGCTAAGCGAAATCAGTTACAGAAAGACAAATACCATATGATTTCCCTCATATGTGGAATTTAGGAATCAAAACAGATGAACATATGGGAAGGGGAAAACAGAGAGAGGGAAGCAAACCATAAGAGACTCTTAATGGTAGACAACAGACTGAGGGTTGATGGAGAGAGGTGGGTGGGGGATGGGCGAAATGAGGTGATGGGTATTAAGGAGGGCACTTGTTTTGATGCCTTTCTCATGTGTTATATGTAAGTGATGAATCACTAAATTCTACTCTTGAAACCAATATTACACTATATGTTAACTAACTAGAATTTAAATTAAAATTTGGAGGAAAAAAATTAAAACATAAAAAGAACCCTTACCTCACACTTCACACTGTACATAAAATCATTTTCCAGTGGGTCAAAGACCTAACTACAAAACATAAAACAATAAAAATTCAAAATATAAGAGAAAATCTTCATTCTTTTGAGGTATGCAAAAAACTTTTTTTAAACACTAAACTTACAGAAGTACAGAAACACAAACTATAATATAGAAGATTTATAAATTCTTCTTCATTGAATTTAAGAACTTCTCTGTTTATTAACAGATATCACCAAGAAGTGAAAACTCAAGTCACAGAACAGAATTATGTTCACAATAATAGAGCCAAAAATAAGGAAATCCTGCAAATTAACAAGAAAAAACAACCCTGAAAATTTCACGTAAAAAAGACCAACGATTTGGACAGACATTTCATAACCAGATAATAAACCCATGAAAGGGTGATCAACATCATTAGCCATCTAGGCTAATTCAAATTAAAACTACAATGAGAGATCACAACATGACCACTAGAATGAGTACAATTTAAAGGAGAAAAAAGGTAAAACCAAGGGTAGATAACCGTACAGATCAACAGAAACTCTCGTTCACTGCTCATGGGAGTATAAACTTCTAGAATCACTTTGGAAGTCTGTTTGGCAGTGTGACATGACCATATGATAAGCGATTCCATTTCTAGATACCAATGAAAAAGCATAGATACATGCAGCAAAAGACATGTACAAGTGGGTTCATAGCAACATTGTCCAATATAGTAAAAGATGAAAAGCAAACCAAATGTTCCACAACAATAAAATGAGTAAGAAATTGTGCTATATGGTACAATAGAATACTACCAGTAACGAAAAAGAACAAGGTCTTACTACATGGAGCATGGATGAACATCACAGGTGCAATGTTGAATGAGAGAGCAGAGACAAGAGAATCCATATTGTTTAATTCTATCTACATGAAATTCTAAAACAAGTAAAACTAATATATAGTGATGGAAGTCAAAATAGTGGTTCTATTTGGTGAGAAAGTCATGACTGGGAGGGTGCATAAGAGAGGCTTCTGGATGTTGGTGAATTAGATCTGATCATGGTTAACAAGTGTGTATGTAAGTAAAATTTATTGAGCTGGACACAGATTTGTGTATCTTATAGTATGTATGCTGTACCTTACTAATACAGCAAACACACGGACAGGAGCACCTGGGTAGCTCAGTTGGTTGAGCACCAGACTCCGACTCAGGTCATGGTCTCACGGTCTGTGAGTTCGAGCCTGGCGTCGGGTTCTGTGCTGACAGCTCAGAGCCTGGAGCCTGCTTCAGATTCTGTGTCTCCCTTTCTGTCTCTACCCCACCCCTGCTCATGCTCTGTCTCTCTCTGTGTCTCAAAAATAAATAAATGTTAAAAAAGTTTTAAAGCAAACACACTGACAAATAAATGAATCATTTAAACATACATACATACATACATACATACATACATAAATGTCATTGTGTATTAAGTTTTTTTTCTTCCTTTTTTTTCTTCCTCTTTTTTTTCTTCCTTTTTTTCGGGGCATGTTTTCAAATCCACATTGAAAACTGGACATTTTAAATAATATAATAGGGCAACTCTAGAAGCCGATTTTGTCCCCTCTCTAGGGCTTACTTTTATCATTGTTATTGTTTGTTTGCTTAGTGATTTATTTGGACTAATTCTGTATCCTTTGCTGTGTGTGGCCACCGAAGTCTCTGCTGAGTTAGGTTAGTGATCACCTAATGATTAGATGGAGATTTCCTTAAACACAGGAGACCAATATTCTCCTAACATACACGGAGGGGTTCACTGCCTGAGCAAACCCTCAACACTCAGCTAGTCAGTGGACAGCTCAAGGAGTAGAGCCTCCAGGTCCGCCCCGTGTTAGAGTCTTTGCTGGGCACATGCATAGCCGTACGCATGTGTGTACTCAACCCATGCATGTGGCCTTCTAGATTTCAGGAATGTTTTAGAGCTCTTTGGGGCTGCTATGGATGCCCATTCTCCAGTTCTGCCTTTTAACCTTTTTGGCTAACTTATTGTCTCAAGCATTATTTGCTACTTCAGGCAGTTGTGAAGGCAAGTTGAACCCTTGCCTGCACCCTTGCCTGTACGTGTTATTGGCAAATGCCCCTGGGGAAAAGGCTTTTTTGCACTAGGTGAATTCTGAGCTCCAAATCAAGTCAAATAAAGTGGGGTCTTCCAAGTGGGGTCTTCCAGAGACCCTCCGGACAAGTCAAGCAGTGCCAGCTCTCTTGCAACGGGGCTTTGAAGCAGCTCCACCCCACTCTGCACCCTCCGGTGACTGCCAGGCCATCGGTTTTCGCCATTTGCACCTGCTGCTCTTCCGGGGGTACCGCAGAGCTGGGGGCTGTGGGGAGAGGACAGGGCAGGTTCAAACACCACAAAGTTCACCACTTTCATCGTGATTCTGCTGTTGTTCTTGAATCAATGCTCGCCAGATTGCCGCAAGGCTTTGGCTACCCTTCAGAGCTCTGAATAAGTCGATTTTTTTTTAATCATTTTTGGCAGTTTTCTTGTGTCTTTTATGAAGGAGAAAATGGGCAAGGTCCTCACTCTGCCAACTGCACTGACATCAACAGCAATCCAGTTTTAACTACTGTGGGTATTGTTTTTTCAGGCAATGTCAGGTTGGTAAAGGGGACAGGAAATGATCATAGAAAGACACTGGCACCAAGAGGAAGTGAGAGGTGCCACAAATATCACCCTGGGCCAGCAGTGGAGGGGGAGGAGGGGGCGTGATAAATGGCTCCTATCTGTCAATTGCCCTTGAACCTACTCTTATTTCACCTCAGCTGTATTAGTTTGTTAAGACTGCCATAACAAAACGTCACAGACCGTGTGGCTTGAACAACAGACATTTACTTCTCACAGTTCTGGAGGGTGGAAATCTAAGATTAAGAGGCTGACAGAGTTGGTTTCCTCTAAGGCCTCTCTCCTGGGTTTGCAGATGGCTGCCCTCCTGCTGCCTCTTCACGTACATGACCATCCTTCTAGGCATATTCATCCCTGATGTTTCTGTGTGTCCACATGTCCTCTTCTTAAAAGGACACCAGTTGGATGTTGGATGAAGTCTCCCTGTCATGGCTTCATTTTTTAACTCATTAACACTTTTGAGGTCTTATCTCCAAGTACAGTCACTTTCTGAGGTCCTAGGGGTTGGTCAGTGCTTCCGCATAAGAATTTTGCAGGGAAGGATAGTCTTGTCAACCAATGGTGCTGGGCCAATTGGACATCCACATGCAAAGCAATAAAGTTGGATCCCCACCTCACACCATATACAGAAATTAACTCAAAATGGATCTAAGAGTTAAAGCTATAAAACTTTTAGTAGAAAATGGCTGTAAATCTTCTTGACCTTAGATGAGGAAATAATTTCTTATGATATCCAAAACACAAGCAACAAAAGAAAAACACATAATTGGATTTCTTCAAAAGTAAAAACTTTTGTGCTTCAAAGGTGACCATTAAGAAAGTGAAAGGACAGGGGCACTGGGTGGCTCAGTCAGTTGAGTATCCAATTTCAGCTGAGGTCATGATCTCCCAGTTTGTAAGTTCGAGCTCCACATCGGGCTCGCTGCTGTCAGCGTGGAGCCTGCTTTGGATCCTCTGCCCCCTCTCTGTCTGCCCCTCCCCTGCTCTCTCTCTCTCTCTCAAAAATAAAATTAACATTAAAAAAATAAATAAATAAAGTGAAAGGGCAGTGCTCAGAATGGGAGAAAATATTTATAAATCATATATTTGCTAAGGGACTCATACCCAAAATATATGTTAAAACTCTTGCAACTCAACAGTAGAAAGGCAATTCTATTTAAAAGCGGGCAAAGAATTTGAACAGACATCCTCCAGGTAAAATATATGCAGGACCAATAAGTATTAAAAAGAAAATTCTCGGGGCGCCTGGGTGGCTCAGTTGGTTAAGCGTCCGACTTCGGCTCAGGTCATGATCTCACGGTCCGTGAGTTCGAGCCCCGCGTCGGGCTCTGTGCTGACAGCTCAGAGCCTGGAGCCTGCTTCCGATTCTGTGTCTCCCTCTCTCTCTGACCCTCCCCTGTTCATGCTCTGTCTCTCTCTGTCTCAAAAATAAATAAACATTAAAAATTTGAAAAAAAAATATTAAAAAGAAAATTCTCAACATCATTAAAGATGCTCACTTCATGAGCCATCAGAAATGGAAATCAAAACCTCAACCAGATACCACTTCACTCTCACTAAGATGACAATTAAAAAACAACAGATGATAACAAGCACTGGGGAGGATGTGGAGAAATTAGACCCTTGTATGCAGCTGGCAGGAACGTAAAATGGGGTAGCTGCTTTGGAACACAGTTCGGCAATTCCCCAAATAGTTCAACATAATGACACCATATGATGTAGCAATGCCACACTATGTATACATAACCAAGAGAACTGACAACAAATACTGACACAGAAACCTATACGTGAGTTGTCGTAATAGCATTATTCATAGTAGTCACAAAGTAGAAGGAATTCAACATCCACCGACTAATGAAAAGGTGAAAAGTGCTATTAAATACCAGACAACGGACTATTATTTAGCCATAGAAAGGTATGGAATACTGATGCAGGCTCCACCATGGATGAACCCTGAAGACATTATGCTAAGTGAAATAAGCCAGTTACAAAAGATCACATATTATATAATTCTACTTAAACAAGTATCCAGAAAATGTAAATCCTTAAAGACAGACCAGGTGGTCACCAGTGGCTGGGAGTTAGGGGTAAGGGTGGTAGAATGGGGATCGACAGCTAATGGGTGTGGGGTTTCTTTTGGGGGTGATGAAAATGTTCTGAAATCAGATAATGATGTTTGTGCAAACATGCAAATATACCAAAGCCTCTGAGTTGTACACCTTACGTGGTTGAATTTTATGGTATTTGAATTGCATCTCAGAAAACAACTACATACGACCGTACCTCTAGAAAAGCAAATAGGTTCTGAAATGATTCTTTCAAGAGTAAAGTGAGCCCTAGGACGGCTGTGAGGGCCATGTGGGAGTCTCCTTTGATTTACTCTCAGCTGTTCTCTTGAGAGCTGAGGTTGCCATTAAGTTCCCTGAACAAGCGAGGAGTCATGCTGAGCATTTTGTAAGACTGATGTTGAGCGCCACGCACAGCCTGCTGGCCTTGACCTGACAGACGGCCAGCAGGTGCTTCCCCAAAGCTAAACATTGAAGGCCACTGAAAACCACTGCAAGTTTTGGCAAAACCTGTCATGAAAGCCTATCAAATAAAAAATTGGGTTTATTTGTGATCTATAAAATATTTTCTTTCTTTTTAAAAAATATTTTAAAGTTATTTATTTATTTTGAGAGAGGGAGAGCATGCACGCATATGAGAGTGCAGAGGAGGAGCAGAGAGAGTGGGAGAGAATCCCAGGCAGGCTCCACTCTGTCAGCGCAGAGCCTGAAGCAGGGCTTGAACTCAGGAAACGTGAGAACATGACCTAAGCTGAAATCAAGAGCTGGACACTTAACCAACTGAGCCACTCAGGCGCCCCTAAAATATTTTCTTAAAAAATATCTCAAATGTATTGTTTTGAAGTAAACAACTTTGTGAGGACTCATGGCCTTTGGAGAGGTGTTAATCAAAACCTTTTTAAGAGACAGAAGACAACTAACTCTCTAACTCTCTCAACTAACTCTGAGGCCAACGTGGTTGGAGCAAAAGTGCTTGAAGTCCTTTCCAGAATTACAAGCATGTATTTTCACATGAAAAATCCAAGAAACGGCACCATCTGACTTTGACAGGACCCTGGAAGATACTTCTGCTACCATATCCAGAGCATTATCCACTGAGTAAATAAATAAACCGCATCGTTCCAAAGCTTGTCAATCTGACACATTTCACGATTGCTATAATTGCTTCAAATTATTTGGAGGAGGTAGAAGATGCTCCAGACTGTTTATGTTTCTGTCCCTTTCCTAGAGGCTAGGGATAGTAAATGAGTCAGCTGGCAATATTCTCAGCTCCGGGGTTCTGGTAGGCGTTTTTTATTGGGGGTGGGGAGGGGAGGTTGGAGATGGTTTTACAAAATGAAATGGTCTGTCCTCTCCCTCTGCCTCCCCTCCCGTCCCCTCAGTGGAGGACTGTACTCATTGTGGATCCTGAGATTATGCTTATAATGCCACAGCAAGGTATCTCCGAAGGGTACAGTTTCCATTGGCTCGTGTCACTTAGCCATTAAATGACATTAGGCAAGTTCCTTAACCTAAGTTACAAAGGTCTTTGTAAAATGGGTTAATAATACCATCTTCACAGGACCAATGAGGACTGACTTAGTACCTGTAAATAGGACTGCTGCATTGCCACCCCCAGGGGGCGCCATCCTCATTGGAGTCTGTGATTGGCCAGATGGGGAGCTGTGCAGCCCAGTCTGTGTGGGCTTGTGAGACAGTCCTATCTAACAATGCATATGGTGCACAGCAAACAATAGGTGCTAACAAGTGTGATAATTATTAACTCACTTTTTTTTTTTTTTGCAAGAAAGGTGAACTTGCCCCTGGATGCTTCAAAGAGGCTTGAATTAATAGCAAAAAGGAAATTTGCAAACGTTAGGCTGTCCAGGCCCATTATTTTGTTAGGTGTCCTCACCTGTGTTATTCCACTTGACCTTCACAACAAACCCATAAGAATATTAGCATCTCTCTCTGATTAAAAACTGAAACTCAGATTTTAAATAACTTATGTGACTATCAAATATTTGAACCAGAATGGGAATGTGAGTCTGTTGGACTCCGTATCCAATGCTCGTTCCAGTGGCAGGTTGTGGACAGGTAGGGATATGCATACTTTTTTACTCACCCAGGATCTATTCCTCCTTCTTCTGGAAGGGGCACCCTGATTTTCCACAATACAACCACCCTTCAAACATTGTCCATCCATTATGGTTTGGATGAGATTAATCTCAGGCCTGACCAATCAGTTTATTTCATCCCATATAGTCACAGGGACAGCTCAGGGATGCACACCTGGTCCAAATCAATCCAATGATACTCAAACCCATGACTTTTGTAAGAACTGTGGGAGAGAATCTCTCCTTCTGGAGGACTTGAACCAGGAAGACTGGGACTTTGGAGAATCAGTCTAAGGCGGAAGCCTATATACAAAAGACAGCAGAGAAGAGGTGGAGAGTAATTGAGTCTGATGACATTTTTTGAGCCCTTAGACTCACCTATGCTTAGACGTACATCAGCTAAAAAATTCCAGGATTGTTTATTTTTTCCAATGTATTCAAACTGGGTATTCTTTTTGTCATATACAGCTAAGCCAGGAGGGTGAGGAAATTAATGCAAGGGATTCTTATATCCACTGAAGCACCCAGCCTTGTCTGTGAACAATCTGTTGACAATGTTAACTGTGAGTGGTAGGAATAAGGATGTTTGTTTCATTTTTGCATACCTTTTTCAACTTGACAAAAAGATTAGAAGAGGTCGGGGTGCCTGGGTGGCTCAGTCGGTTGAGCGTCCGGCTTCGGCTCAGGTCATGATCTCACAGTTCATGGGTTCGAGCCCCACGTCGGGCTCTGTGCTGACAGCTCAGAGCCTGGAGCCTGCTTTGGAATCTGTGTCTCCCTCTCTCTCTGCTCCTCCCCTGCTCATGCTGTCTCTCTCTCTCCTTCAAAAATAAATTAAAACATTTAAAAAAAATTTTTAAATAAAAAGAAGAGGCAACACAAGTTGCATTTAAAAGTAAAATTTTTAAACATAATAAAATAAAATAAAAACAGAAAGGAACAATTTCCCCCACAGAAGAGAGAAAACGAACAAATTCTGTTTGGTAGCTCTCCAATCTAAAACCTAATTCCCTAGACTTCTCTCTGATGGTAATTCCTATATTAACATCCTATGCTCAGGCTGTCTCCCAATATCCATTCTCCCTTTCTTCCATGGTAATTCTGATTTTTAGCCAGCACATAACGTTTCAAGATAGAGACTACATTTCCCAGCCTGCTTTTCAGATAAGTGTGGTCATATGACTAGGTGATAGCCAATGGGATATGAGCAGAAGTAATGTGCTCACCTTCCAGGTTGTGTGTTAAAAGGAAGGGCATGCCAAAACGTAGACACAGTGATGTGCCATGATGGATTTTGTAGGCAAGGACACCACCCTAAAGGGAGAGAAGTGATAAGATATGCAGAACTTGAGTTCTATACTGCTACCCAGACTTCCTCTGGTTTATTGTACTGTGTTTTTTTCGGACTCTGCAGCAACAGCCAAATTTACATCCTAAGTAGTACATCAACAAACTTGCCAAAATAACACGCCCCCTCCACTCAGCCTTTCTACTTCTTGAACTACTGCTCTTCCTCCTCGCTACTCTTAAACATGGGTGGCGCTCTCTCTTTCAAGGTCTTTCCTTAAATCTGGTTTCTCTCCATGTTTTCTTCCTTGGAAATCTCATCTACTGTCATTGAAGAGGACTTCAAACCTTTCTAAACCTAACCCATCTCTCAGCATCAGTTCTGCTTATCAGACCTCTCTTCCCTGATACATTACCAGCACATCAAACTCTGTATGTTTAAAATCAAGCCCACAGTTCTCCCTCTCCTTCACACACACACTCACCACAGAGCTAAGGGTAGACAACTCATTCTGTTCCTGATTCCTCTGATTTAGTAAATGGAGTAGATGACACCACCATCCAGCCAGGAGCCCAGGCTTAAAACTCTAAAGCAGGGGCCACAATTTCAAATGCTTATGGGAGCTGAAGAGTTCATGACCAACCTAAAAAGAGCAACCACTATGTGGCTGAGTTCTCACTTGTAGGAATGTAGGCACAATGTTGTAAGGTCTCTTCTGATTTTTCAAAGTAAAAATTTAGGTTTTATGCTTTATGTACTCTCCCTATATTTATTTAAAAAATAACAACAAAAGCTATCTTCCACAGAAATATTGAACTAGCAATATTAATATATGGATCAATATGTAAATGAAAAACTTAAAACACATCTTACACTATTTTCTAGATAAACAATATGTATTATAAAATGGCTAGTTAAATAATATAATTGTAGCAAAAATAATTCATCAGATCATTCCAGTAAGGGTAAATCATTTGTTTATATTTGGAAATTATTTATCTTTTGATGCAGCTGTCACTAAATTCTGTCATGATTTGACATAGGGAGCGACGTCAAATTCTTCCAACAACTTCCTCATTAAATTGATAACCACTAGATGAGTTTTTTAAGTAGCCAATCTTTCTTCACATCAATGACAGTGTTGAATTCTCAGCTTCTGATGAATAGCAATTATATTTAAACATTTCCCAGACGTATACTCTGAGGCTTTTACATATTCAATATTTCTATTATTGACTAAATCACAAAAATCATTTATTGAAATGCCTTTTAACCAGTTGGCTTAATTTACTACTTCTTGTTCACCCTCAATCTGCAGAACTGCATAAACCAGTTGGCCAAATTTCAGAACTCAGTAAATTGAAGCAATCAGAAAGTTCATTACATTTTTTCACTTTTGTCCTCAAATATGTTTTCATACTATCTGTGGGACAATCTTATAGTTTTTTTATTGAAATTGATACTTTATTTAGTTTCAAACAGTGTACATATTTTTTTCATATCTGTATCTTCCACATCTGTTTCACAATTTCCTTTCTTTGTTTATGTTATGGACTGAATGTGTCTTCCCCAAATTCATACTAAAGTCTTGTCCCAGGGCGCCTGGGTGGCTCAGTCGGTTGAGTGTCTGACTTCAGCTCAGGTTATGATCCTGCAGTTTGTGGGTTCGAGCCCTGTTTTGGGTTCTGTGCTGACAGCTCAGAGCCTGGAGCCTGCTTTGGATTCTGTGTCTCCCTCTCTCTCTGCCCCTCCCCTGTTAACGCTCTGTCTCTCTCTCTAAAATGAATAAATGTTTAAAGAATTAAAAAAAAAAAAAAACCCCATGCCCCCCCCACCAATGTGATAATTAGAATTAGATAAAGTCACAGGGTGGGAGTCATAACGAATAATGCTCTTATAAGAGTCACTAGAGAGCTTGCTTCCTCTGCTCTGCTCTCTACCTCGTGGGGACACAAAGAAAAGTCTGTGGTCTGCAACCCAGAAGAGGGTTTGTACCAGAACCCACCCTGTGCTGACACCGTAATCTGACTTCTAGCCTCCAGAACTGTGAGGAGTTTCTGTTGTTTATAAGTAACCAGTCTTTCATATTTTATCATAGCAGCCCAAACAGACTAAACAGTTTACATACGTTCAGCTGTTTCATTTATGGAGTTCATTAAAATATCAGCTACAATAATGAAATCACTTTTCTCATTAAACTGAAATGAATTTTGACATTTCCATGAAAATATCATTTATTAAGGCCAACATGCTTAAAACATGTTTTTGAAACAGTTAACCACTCCGTTTGTTTCTGACAGTGAACAAACGTATACACAACTTACTGATTTCCAAACTGCTTTTGAAGTTCTAGGGCTTCAAGCTGTCTATCAAGGTTCCATTTTCACTCTGTAATTTGCAGTTCTTTCTGATCTTTATTTGATGTGTGATAGTAAATATAGTGCATCAAACAAAATATGAGAATTACTTGACTTGCATCTTGTATATTGCTTTATCCAAAATTAATTAAATTTGGTAACTTAGTGCCAAGTTAATACATCCAAATTTTTTCTAAACTTTTGGCTGAAACCCCAGATCTTCTAATATTACATTAGTACTTTTGTACAAAATCCAATGGCTTTTTTTAAATTGCTGTCAAATACTCCAATGACATTTTTATGGAAATATTTTTCAGTGAAATATAATTTTTCTTACCTACGAGCAAAGTTCTTTACAGTGTATTAAATGTGGCTCACATCATAAGGTCAACAAAAACCATCATCTTCAAAATCTTGAAATTTGTATTTTAAGCAAATTATTGAAACACTTTAAGTAAAACAAATGAAGTTTCTTTTTTTCAAAATATTTTTTTTTATTTTTTTTTTATTTTTGAGACAGAGAGAGACAGAGCATGAACGGGGGAGGATTAGAGAGAGAGGGAGACACAGAATCGGAAGCAGGCTCCAGGCTCTGAGCTGTCAGCACAGAGCCCAACGCGGGGCTCGAACTCACGGACCGCGAGATCGTGACCTGAGCTGAAATCGGACGCCCAACCAACTGAGCCACCCAGGCGCCCCTCAAAATATTTTTTTAATGTTTATTTACTTTTGAGAGACAGAGCATGAGCAGGGGAGGGGCAGAGAGACAGGGGGAGACACAGAATCCAAAGCAGGCTCCAGACTCTGAGCCATCAGCATAGAGCCCAACGCAGGGCTCAAACGCATGACCTGCGAGATCATGACCTGAGCCAAAGTCAGACACTCAACCAAATGAGCCACCCAGGGGCCCCAAAATGAAGATTCTTTGATGGTAATTTAAAACGATCTGCCTGGGGCGCCTGGGTGGCTCAGGCGGCTGGGTGCCCAACTTCAGCTCAGGTCATGATATCGCTGTTCCCGAGCTGGAGCCCCACGTCTGGCTCTGTACGGACAGCTCAGAGCCTGGAGCCTGTTTCGGATTCTGTGTCTCCCTCTCTCTCTGCCCATCCCTGCTTGTGCTCTGCCTCTCTCACTCTCAAAAATAATAAACATTAAAAAAAGAAAGAAAAGCCTCCGACTTCAGCTCAAGTCGTGATCTCACAGTTCTGAGTTCAAGCCCCACATTGGGCTCTCTGCTGTCAGCAGGGAGCCCACTTCAGATTCTCTTCACCCCCCGCCCCCCGCCCCTCTGCTGGCTCTCCCCCTCTCTCAAAAATAAATAAAAACAGGGGCGCCTGGGTGGCTCAGTCGGTTGAGCGTCCGACTTTAGCTCAGGTCATGATCTCACAGCTCATGAGTTCGAGCCCCACGTCAGGGTCTGTTCTGACAGCTCGGAGCCTGCCTCAGATTCTGTGCCTCCCTCTCTCTCTGCCCCAACCCACTCACATTCTGTCTCTGTCTCCATCAAAAATAAATAAACATTTTTAAAAATTTAAAGGAAGGGGCGCCTGGGTGGCGCAGTCGGTTAAGCGTCCGACTTCAGCCAGGTCACAATCTCGCGGTCCGTGAGTTCGAGCCCCGCATCAGGCTCTGGGCGGATGGCTCAGAGCCTGGAGCCTGTTTCCGATTCTGTGTCTCCCTCTCTCTCTGCCCCTCCCCCGTTCATGCTCTGTCTCTCTCTGTCCCAAAAATAAATAAACGTTGAAAAAAAATTAAAACACACACACACACACACACACACACACACACACACACACAAAAATAAAAATTTAAAGGAAAAAATAAATAAAAACATTAAAAATATATATAAATAGGGGCACCTGGGTGGCTCAGTCGGTTAAGCATCCGACTTGGGCTCAGGTCATGAACTCGCTTTTGTGAGTTCGAGCCCCGTGTCAGGCTCTGTACTGACAGCTCAGAGCCCGGAACCTGCTTCGGAATCTGTGTCTCCCTCTCTCTCTGCTCCTCCCCTGCTCATGCTCTCTCTCAAAAATAAAGATTAAAAAAATTTTTGTTAATATATATAAATAAAAAAATAAAACGCTGTGCCTTGGGGGAGGGGCTAGAGGTTGAAATCAATTTGCAACGGCCGATGATTCAATCAATTATGCCTATGTAATGTAGCCTCCATAAAACCCAAGAGGACAGGGTTTGGAGAGCTTCCCTGTTGGTGAACACATGCAGATTTGGGGAGAACGGCCCACCTGGAGAGGGCACAGAATCTCTGAGCCCTTTCCCACATACTTTGCCCCGTGTGTCTCTCCCATCTGGCTTTTCCTGAGTACACTTTTTATAATAAACCGGTAATCTAGTAAGTAAAAAATTAAATGCACTGCCTTCATTTATGTTTGTCAAAAAGTTGTTTTCTCATTTAGGTACATCTATGTTTTGTAACGAGTGGGTCCATGGTACCCATGTCCATATCAATAGCAGTCCTTTAGAAGTCCTATTAGGGGTGCCTGGGTGGCTCAGTCAGTTTAGTGGCCCCCGTGAGTTCGAGCCCCCGTGTTGGGCTCTGTGCTGACAACTCAGAGCCTGGAGCCTGCTTCAGATTCTGTGTTTCTGTCTCTCTCTGCCCCTCCCCTGCTCAAACTCTGTCTCTCTCTCTGTCAGAAATAAATTTTAAAAATTAAAAAAAAAGTTCTAAATATTTTCATAAAAATGCCCAATTATATAGTACCAAAGATTTCACTTGAACAAGTTTTAACAGCATCCTGCTGAAATACACTTGCTTAGTACTTTAATGTTTCAACACATAACTTTCGAGCACTATTTGCATCCAACATTTCTGTCACCAGCAAGAAGTCATATTCTTGCTTGGAAAAAAAAAATCAAGTTCTTTCTCACTCCAGATCTATAGATTTTATATGATAAAGTTTATTTAATACAAGTTTCATTTTGTGCAGATTCTCGCACAGCATCGAAACAAGTCTCAGGCTGGGATTCACTGCTCTTGGAATTCCTTCTTCTGCAGATGGACCAGATTCATGTTTATTATATTCAAAATAAATATATTTAAAAATGTATCCAGATTTTTTTGTCTGTTCATTCTAGGTATTTTTTAGTATTTTATACTAAAATCTTACATGTATAAATACGAGACGCTGCACAGCTACTACTTTGAAAACAATCACAAAGTGCCAACAATAAGATTATTTTAGCTAGTGATTCTCCTAAAGCAATTAGCGTTTTGTTAACATAAGTAACTCAGCCAGTTCCTTCAGTGACACAGGCCAAACTATGTCATGACTATTTCTCAGATGTAGCTACATCAGGAGGCCCAGTTTCAATGGTACTAATATCCTAAAACTGTCACCAATGAGTTTATATTAAACTTATATTAACTAACTATAACACATCACAATTAGTACAATACAATTTACCCTTATGTATTTCAATATTAAAGAAAAATTTTTAATGTTTATTTAAAACATTAAAGCATGAATGGGAGCAGGGGGCAGAGAGAGAGGGAGACGCAGAATCTGAAGCAGGCTCCAGGTTCCGAGCTTCAGCACAAAGTCTGACGCGGGGCTCGAACTCATGAACCGTGAGATCATGACCTGAGCTGAAGTTAGATGCTTAACTGACTGAGCCGCCCAGGCACCCCTTGTCTTTCAATAATTTAACCATCAGTGTGGTACAGGGTGCGGGCTGGCTAAACCAGCTCTGGCCTATCTCCTGCATTTAGACCAGGAGCTGCCAGTTTTAGCATTTGGCCGCCACCCCAGAAAAGACTATCAATGGCTCCTTGATTGGAAGATGAGGCTGCATTTCAGAAGCACCTCTGAGAGTCGTGCATGGTCACTTTTTTGTGTGGGGGATGGATATCAAGTGATGTCACACCTGGACCGCTTCACTAATGATTGAAGTCACCTGCCTGCCTCTTGCAGTCATTGTAATTTGCCACCCCCGGTTAGGTTCTCAAAAAAAAGACTTCCTGTCCCAGCAAAATTGCTGAGGCAAGAATTTGCAAATCTTGGCTGAGTGGGGAGGGAGGGGGGAAAGAGAAATAGCAATCCTAAACTAATATTACAAAAATGCATCTTGCCACATCTGCACCTCTAACTTATACCAGGTCCAGGTCACGATTTAGCTCACTGAAACCCTCCCTAACCCCCAGCCAGCATCGCCCATCTCCTCTTCCTCTAAATGATCACAGCATAAAGTCTCTCCCTCAGTGCTACCCTTTGAGTATACATGGCTAGGAAATAAATTCCAAACTCCCCATCTAGCATACCTTGCCCCACCCATTATCCTCCAACGCACATGAAGTCATACTGTTTCCCTTCATAGAGCCTTTGCTCCAAACAGGACATTTTCCCCTATAGATCTTTAAGGCAGTCACACCGCCACGCCTTGCTCACAAAGGTTTTCTCAACCTGGCGCACTTTCCTCCCTCATTTCTCATCGGCAGTATCCCTCAAGGTGTGGCACAAAAGCCTCCTCTGGGAGGCCCCCCTGGATTCCCTAGCAGGCCAGGCCATTCCCTGAGCTTCCCAGTTCTTCTCTGACCCTCTGTCTCTCCAGGAACTCCTCCCATTCGTCCTGAGATTGCAGAGACCCGACAGGAATCATTTCTGGGACCCTGTGCCCAAGCAGGCCTCCGGGTTTGCTAAATGACTCAACAAACGAGGGTGTGCCGACGGCCCCACCAGCCGGGTAACCTAGTAGGAGTCGGGCACTGCGGTCTACGCCGGGACACGGCTCCTGATTAAAGGAGGTTACGCTCTATTCATTAATTCAGAATTATAAGTGCTATGAAGGGTATAGAAGTGACCTGGGACTTCGCCTTGCTCACAGGGTTGCGGCGCAGAGGGGTTCTACCCTTTGCCTCAGTTTCTCCATCAGCCGAACCCGCCCTCCCCCCAACCCTGTCACTTTGCAAGGTCTGCGCAGCCGCACGTTCCCAATCCCGGCGTGCCCCACCCCACCCCACCCCGCCGGCGGCACCCCCTTCCCGGCAGGCCCCGGGAGCCCCGCTGTATGCCGGGAATTGTGGTCTTGGCGGAGGCGGTGCGGCGCCACGGCGCGTGGCAGGAAGCGGAAGCGGCCTGCGACCCGCCCCCGGCCCCGCCCCGCGCCGCGCCGCGCCGCTCGCTTCGGTGCTAGCACTGACGTGTCTCTCGGCGAAGGTGCTGCGCTCCGTAGCGGGCTGGGCCGCGGGCAGTGTCACCTCACTCGGAGTGGAGCGGAGCAGAAGCGGGACCCGGAGCCTGAACAGCCGCCGCCATGGCGAGTGAGTCCCTCGGGGCAGCCGCGGCAAAGCCGGGAAGGATCAGATCGCCCTTCCCCTCACCGGTCCGGGCGAGCGCCCACCCACCGGGCCCTCCCGGGTCCCCTCAGAACGAGGCCCGCGTCCCCTGGCCCCCTCGGTGGTCCCCGCGCGCGGTCTGCTCCCCTAGTCCCTGCTCCAACTCGTGCTGGGCGGAAGGCTTCCCCAGGGAGCACAGGAGGTTTTTACGTGCCCTAACTCTGCTTTTGTTTCTCCCATCAAAGTCAAATTTCTGGAAGTCATCAAGCCCTTCTGTGTCATCCTGCCGGAAATTCAGAAGCCGGAGAGGAAGGTAAGTTCCTCGTATCGCCGTCAAAGGTTTCGTGAAACTGGGCGCTTGAAGTTTACAGTACAATTAAAAATGGCTTCAACACGCCAGATGGAAACTCTGTCTCCTGTTCCTTCCTCCTGGAGTGTAGTTGTGTGTACTCCTGAGCTTTGTTGAAAGGTGACCGGGTTGTGTGGGAGTTTGCACCGAAATCAAGTCGTGCTTTATTTGGAGCATCTCTAGGGAACAAAGCCTTCGGTTTGCTCTGTCCCAAAAAGGGATCTCGGCTGTGAATGTATAAGGCCTCAAAAGCCTCAGGATACTCGGACTGGGTCACCCACCCTTCCTTCTTCACCTCCACCAGGAGCACTTTATGGTTGGTGTTTTCCTAGGAGATCTTAGTATGCATGTGCTAAAAGAGGCTAAGAGCGGTCACTTTTCCCCGTATAGATGAGTTTGTATGTAGACTGTCACAGTATTGAGGGAGGGAAAAGGCGTTTTAGGAACCTTACTTTTTACGGCAGACACGTTAAAGATAAAATGTAGAGAAGATAAAAATGTAGACCCTTTATCAGAATTTCTGCTCCTGCACAGCGACAGCCCAGGATAGCGAGTGTGGCCACTGTCAGTAAAGCTGTTAAACAGTGAGAAAGTTTTATTTAGATTCTTGCGTTGAAAAGAATGAATAGTGCAATATTTTTGTTTTTAGATTCTTTTCAGACTGTTGCTCATGCATTCACGTGTATGTGTGTGTAATTGACAGCAGCGTGGACACTTACTCTTGGAGTCTCCTTTTTTTTTTTTTTCTTAACTTATAATCATTTTGTGTAAGAGTGCTCCATATGCGTGCTGCCTTCAGGGGGCAGAATGTAAAGGTGTCCCCTCCACCCCACCCTCCTGGCCTAGTAGAAAGGGTATGGCTCTGGAGGCCAACAAGCTTCGGACCTACCCTTCACAAACCTCTTAAAAGCTGTCCATCCTTGGCCTTGTGAGTAAGTGTGGTAGATGGAGCAGTGGAAATACGTGCAAGGAGTAGCAGTGGCTCAGGAAGGATTAACCACATCCGGAAGATGTGGTTTCTGATGGTGGTTTTAGTGGAAGAATAGAAGTTTTTTTGAGGAGAGGAGAAGGAATTCCAGGCATAAGGAACATATGGTGTGCAAAGACCAGGAAGACGAGCAGGTGGGAGGGTGTTAGCTATAGATCCACATTGCTAGAACATAAAAGATGGTGGGGAGCAGTGGAAGGGCCAGATGATTAGAAACTTGCTCTGGAAGTAGGTAGAGAGGAGAGTGGTCTAGAGGCTCTTGCAATAGAGGGTGTGTGGGGTGGGCTAGGAGACAAGGTTTCAAGAGGCTATTTCAAAGGTCAAGTAGATAGGACTGGGATAAGTGCTTTTGAAGTTTTGCTGTTGAATTTGGCTGCGTCCAGGAGAGGAGACTTGGTTATTAAGAAATGAGGAGTCGGTTGGGGCGCCTGGGTGGCACAGTCGGTTAAGCGTCCGACTTCAGCCAGGTCACGATCTTGCGGTCCGTGAGTTCGAGCCCCGCGTCAGGCTCTGGGCTGATGGCTCAG